CTGTCTGCTCAACGGGTCGTGGTCGGGGCTGCAGCCTGCGTGTGAGGGTGAGTCCGCTCCTGCCTTTACGACCACCTCGACAGTTAAAGCCACGCGACTCAAAATTCCACAGAAATCCTATAAATTTATACTATTTGTACAATTAAACCTCCCCCCCAAAAATAAATTTATAAGAGCATCATGAAAAATCATGACTGGGTGCACGGAGATATCCTGCACGTGGAGATATCAAAGGTCCCTGTATCACTGATCCTTAAACTTTGAACGTTTGTGACAGACGAGGTTTCTATTCTTCTCCCAATGACAAGCTGCGTGTGGTTTTGCCAGTGTTCTGTGGATCCCGGCGGTGAATGAGCAGGAGCAGCCCGTCACCGACGACAGAGGAGATTTCTGAGCCTGGAAGTCGGTTTCCTTCGCACGTCATTTCCGAGCTATCGGTGGCCCTTGTCCAGAGCACAGTATTACAAAGGAATCTAGGGCTGTGTTCTGTGAAATATTCTGGGGTGAATATATTTGGTTTCAGTCTTTGAAAGGGGCATAGTAGGGCATGGCGGGATGCTCCAATGATGAGAGTAAAAATGGCCGTGGATACCTTGCCGGCATCGTGCTGTGTGGGCAACGTCTGCCTTAGGCAAAGAGGAGCTGACGTGAAAGTCATTTGTTTAGAGTTCAGAAAACAACTGAGTCAGAATTCAGACTGATACGACTTTAAATGTTAGACAAAGCAATCACAGCAGCAACAAAAAACAAATGGGACCTGATCAAATTAAAAAGCTTTTACACAGCCAAGGAAACTATCATTAGAGTGAACAGACAACCTACAGAATGGGAGAAAATATTTGCTTTCTACACATCTGATAAAGGTCTGATAACAAGAATCTACATAGAACTTAAGAAAATAAACAAGAAAAAATCAAACAACCCCATCAATAAATGGGCAAAGGACATGAACAGAAAGTTTCCAAAAGAAGACAGACTAATGGCCAACAAACATATAAAAAAAGTGTTTAACCTCTCTCATCATCAGGGAAATGCAAACCAAAACCACAATGAGACATCGCCTAACCCCAGTGGGATTGGCCTCTATCAAAAACAACAAATGCTGGCGTGCATATGGAGACATGGGAACACTCTTACATTGCTGGTGGGACTGCAAACTAGTACAACATCTATGGAAAGTAATTTGGAGATACCGCAAAGAGCTAAAAATAGAACTACCATTTGATCCAGCAATCCCACTACTAGGCATCTACCCAAAGGAACAAAAGACATTCTATAATAATGACATCTGCACTCAAATGTTTACAGCAGCACAATTCACGATTGCAAAGATGTGGAAACAACCCAAATGCCCATCAATACATGAATGGGCTAATAAAATGTGGTATATGTACAACATGGAGTTCTACTCAGCTACAAAAAAGCAGTGGTGATCTAGTACCTCTTATATTATCCTGGATAGAGACTGAGCCCATCCTTCAAAGTGAGGTATCACAAGGATGGAAAAACAAGCACCACATGTACTCGCCATCAAACTGGTACTAACCGACCAACACTAAGGTGCTCACATGGTAGTGATACTCACTGGGTGCCGGTTGGGGGCGTGGAGGGGTAAACCCACCACTAATGGAAGCGGAATGCACTGCATGGTGGAGGGACACGCTTGTAGCCCTGGCTTGGGTGGGGCAAATGCATTACATGTAACCAAAATGTACCCCCATAATTCCTGAATAAATAAAAATAAAATAAAATAAAATCACAACAATTCTATCTTGGTATTAAAAACATTCAATGCCAAAGTATCAGGGCTTTGAATTTCCAGTGCTTTAGCTCATGTTTTAATGTGTCTGGAAGGAACGCACTGTAGAAAGGCCAATCTGACAATGTAATTTTTCTGCAGCTAATCAATAAAATTAAACACAACTCATAGCAAAACACACATTAAAGCTCTTCCATAGGATTGTACGCTGTGGCTTTGTAATGAACGAATGGTCTATGAAACCAGTGACCTTCGGGCGGCCGCATCTGTCATGGTGGGTCACTCGCTCTGTGTGCTGTCGTTCTGTTTCCCTAACAGCCGTGTCCTGCGGCAACCCCGGGACCCCCACCAACGGCATGATCGTCAGCAGCGACGGCGTCCTGTTCTCGAGCTCCGTCATCTACACCTGCTGGGAGGGCTACAGGACCTCAGGGCTCATGACGCGGCATTGCACGGCCAACGGGACCTGGACCGGCTCCGCTCCCGACTGCACGAGTGAGTAACGATCGTCAGGCAGACTCGGGCGTTGCCGTCAAATCCACTCCACTGAGAAAAAAAAAGAGTGCCTTTAAGGTGTTTTATTGACTTTTTTAAACTCATAGACGATTAAAAGGAAAATATATGTTTGATATTATGACTCTATTTCTTAAATGCTTTACGATTTTTCTCCATTTTCTTATTTATATGGTTGAAGCTACTTTAAAAGACCAGTTGGCTTGGACATTGTAAAACTGAAGTCCAGATAGATTCAGGCTTTCTCTGTCTGTAGACCGTATAGTCTGCAGGGAATTGAGAAAGGTGTGTGGTTCTCTGGCCGCAGCCTCTGTCTCTCTGATTACGCACCAGGCTGATCAGCGGCTAGTCGGGGTGGAAGCCGGCACCGCGCGGCAGCCCCGAGTAGGACTGAGATAAGTGATTCCAAACACACAGCCTCCTGGCAGCGGGTCAGTAAAATCTCAAGCAGAGGATAGTGTCGCTTTAGTAATTCACTGCGTAATCACTTTGAATAACAGCTCAAAGAGAGTAACTCTGAGTAACAGCTCCCCCGAGAGTCACCTGGAATAGAAGCCGTGATTAATTCGTTTCATGGTAACTGTGTGTCTCGGGTTCTTTCTTGCTACCTGCTTGTTAGTTATCAGTTGTGGAGATCCGGGCACCCTGGCAAACGGCATCCAGTTTGGGACTGATTTCACCTTCAACAAGACTGTGAGCTATCGGTGTGACCCCGGCTACCTCATGGAGCCGGCCGCGGCGGCCACTCTGCGTTGTACCAAAGACAGTACCTGGAACCACAGCAAACCCGTCTGCAAAGGTTCGTGTCCTTGCTCTTTTGTTGTTGTTGTTCTTACTGATACGTACGAGTCTTTATTGAGTTATATTCGATTTTATTCTGCAAGCATTTAGGTAACCTTTCCAAGGGTTACATAAAGTAACAGTTTGTTAGACAGTTTGTTGTGAGGCTTACATGAAACCCAGATGCTCAAAAATGTCGCCTCCCCTCCCCTCCCGTGTGGGCGTGTTCTGGGACCATCCTCCTTTCTCTCCCAGTAGAGTCGAAGGATCTCATCGTCTTCTGTTCTTTCTAATAACACTATGCCTGTTACCTAACGGGCACTAAATAAATGCTTAAGGAAACTCGCAAAGTGGTGTTGGGAGTGTCCTAGTCAAATGCTCCTGATGGAAATTGCCAGTAAAGTGGTCCGGCCGCTGCAACTTCACAGACGCTCTTATAGGTCTTTATTCTTCGGCACCCATTGGATTCACCATGGTGCCGTGGCCAGCAAGGCCCTGTGAGACTGGCCCCCTCTATCTCTCTGTCTCTCTCTTTCTGTTTCTCTCTTTCAACTTATCTCCTGCCGTTCACCCTGTCACACTCTGGGGAACCCTTTTTCTCGTGACTGTGCCCCTGGGTCTTTGCCCTGCCATTCCCTCCGTCTAGGGCACACACTCCACGAACTTTGCCGGAGCTGCAGGAACTATCTGTTGAATAAATGAACAGGTGGCATGACCAGAGAAAGACCCTGTCCAGCTCTGGGTGTGCATGTGTAATCTGTGTGTGTCAGCATGTCCTTCTCACGTGAGAAGGCAGAGCCTGAACACGCTAAGATGTAGGCGAGTCTCTTCTGTCCCTTCTGTGGCCGGCAGGGTCATTTGAAAACTTCCACTAATTTCAAAAGTCCAGGAAGCTCTCGGACTTTCAGAGAAGAGTTTAGAGTGTGTTTTGGATTTCTCCCCCACCGTTGTGCGTCTTAGTGTAATCTCTAGAGGGGGAAAGGTGGACCTGTGGGGCCGGTGCCAACGATGCCCCCTCCCCAGGAACCACGTGCTTGCTTCTCGCGCCAATAAAACAGATGTCGGGCTGCGGGGCTGCCATGAAACACTCGCAAGTGGTATTTTGCAGAACCACCTGTAACCATGCAAGCATTGCAAAAATATTCAGCAAATAAATGGAAAGACTCTGTCTTTTGGAAATCATATACTATTTTAAAATAAAAATACAGATGGCAGGAGAAATTCCTACCATCTGTATATATAAACTCATGTCATATGGCCAAGTCTCCATTGGAATTGTCCTCAGTAACCGTCATAAAAAGACACAAATTAAATAAGAATATTTCTTCTTTAGTTGGCCTTGTATGTATTGAGAGTGTCAAGTTCACTCCTGTTTTCTTTTACCGTGTGATGTGTTTTGACTTGACTTTGCTCTTACATACGTGATCCAAATTAATGAAGAAATGTTGGAGCGGTTTTATTATTTCGATATACTGTCTTCCCTAGTAATTCTTTTATATTAAAAAAAAATAACCCTAAGGAGATGTCATTTGTAATTCAGTAAAATTAAAACGTGAACTGTCTGAACATCACGGGGGCGGTGGAAGCTCTGGAACGCTCAATGTTGTTTGTTCTCTGGAAACAGCGGTCCTGTGCGCTCAGCCTCCTCAAGTGCAGAACGGAAGAGTGGAGGGGACGGACTTCCGCTGGGGCGCCAGCGTGAGCTACAGCTGCGTGGACGGCTACCAGCTCTCCCACTCGGCCATCCTGTCCTGCGAAGGCCGCGGAGTGTGGCGAGGGGAGGTCCCCCAGTGCCTGCGTGAGTTCCACATCCGCACCTGTTCCGCCCTTCACAGGCGCAACGGTGACCAAAATCCCGGCACACTCCAGGGATACGGTGATGTCTAGTTGTAGCCTCATCACCGTAGGTAAAAACTCTGAGACCGCATGCATTGCGCAAGGGCAGATTCTTTCCCTCCACTCCTGTACTGGCTAGATAAGCCGAAAGGGTTAACAGAAACCGGTGAAACAAGTGCAATGGGCAAACCTCATTCAGGGACTCCTAGAGCTGACGTCCTCCCGTTGTTTTCCACAGCTGTGTTCTGCGGAGACCCCGGCACCCCCGCGGAGGGGCGGCTTAGCGGGAAAAGCTTCACCTACAAGTCTGAAGTCTTCTTCCAGTGCAAACCCCCGTTCATACTTGTGGGGTCGTCGAGAAGGATCTGCCAAGCGGACGGCTCGTGGAGTGGCGTACAACCCACCTGCATCGGTGAGAATCCCAAGGCAGCCCCAGAGTATTCGGGGGTATTTGGAGAGGAGGACAGTCCGTTCCAAAACTGGGTCGTTTGTGGTTACGTAGATAATGTTCTTATGCATAATTTTCTGTGCAAGGTAATATCCTTTGAGTAGGCGCCAGTCAGCTAAACTGATATGCAGCGTCTTTTAAAGTGTGCAGACTGAATTTGGAGTTGACGTCAGACGTCTGCTAAAGCAGCTACTACACTTCGCTGTCTTCCCTCAGTGGCTCTCTCCTGTCCGTCTCAACTGAAAGCTGCGCTGTTTGGGGAGAAAACGCAATTATTAACGTCCTCTGAGACGCCGTCACCCAAGAGCCAGCCTTGCTGCTGTCTTATTCCTGCAGACTTGAGTTTACTGTTGGGTTAATTTTGTTCTCAGAGTTTTATGGAGCAGAGGAGTGGGTGTTCTACAAATTCGTAGTAAAATATTAATGGTGACTTTCAATTATTTTCTAAGAAATTGACTGATGTCTACTTAGAAATAGAGACAGCATCAGAAATACTTTTTCTACTTTCAGGAGCACGCACTGCCATCTGATGCGAACTACTGCTACATGGTAGCTGTCTCTGCACTAAAAGTATTTTTCTTCCCCCTGTAGGTTAGTTGCTCTAGAAAACAAAGTTCAAAGTTATCTGTTTTTTTCTTCTACTAGCAGCTGGAAAGCAGCAAACAAGGAAGATGAAATGCTCCGTGATTGCTCAAGTTCTGTATTTTTGGAAAATGTCACTGTTGGCTTCTCACGTGCTTCAGTTTTGAAGCATTAAATGTAGTTCTCATTTTGAAGTCTTGAGGAAAATTAATTTAAGAAATTTGGAAGGCTGTCATGGATGACCGAATGAGATGCCGTTGATGGAAACCTCATAAACCGAAAGAACAAAAGAGATCGTTATTGCAGAGAGTACACTGTTGACCAAATACATATGTGTCAGTAGAGAAAATTAAACCAGAGAATGGCAAAGAATGTACCTATTCTTACATAGAAAAGAACATACAGGACTATTTAAAGTCTGATAAAACTCTAAAAAGTAACATCTAAAGGAAATGTCTGGAAGAGAAGATAAAAATTGCAATTTAATTTTTAACTGTCATTAAAAACATCTTGCACATTTGTTAAAACAGAATTTTATCAATTTTGTAAGACCCTTTAGTAAAAAAATGATAGAATTCCTGTAATAACCATATCTGGTCTTTCCTTTTTAATTGTGAATTTCAGATCCTGCACATAACACCTGCCCAGACCCTGGCACCCCGCACTTCGGAATACAAAATAGCTCTAGAGGATACGAGGTATTCCATTTTTATATTACTATGCTTTTCTAGAAATATAAAATATAATAGGTACTTGAATATTAATATATATGTAGGTTTTATATACCATATCTTATTCTCACTGTATTTGCCTAAATAAAATGCATTCGAAGAGGATTTCTGTATGTGTTTTTAACTGCCAAAATCCATAAATTCATTTATATTTTTATACTACAGTAACAAGTGCGGTATTAATTTCTACATGAAAGCATGCATCCTTCTCTTACTTGTCTGCTACACTTATGTGGTAGTTCTATGATTGGAGTAACTTGTCCCTGCATAGCTACTGTAGAAGTCTTCATTTAGGGACTCGATATAATCGGCAAATAACATTAAATTCTAGGGAAATAAACAGAAGAAGAAAAGGTATCAAAGTCCCTTAGTCTAGGTTTCCTTGTGAAATCTGTTCTCCATATGATCTCTGAAAGCTCTGTGAATTACTGTCATACTAAATATTTCTTTGGAGTGTTCATTTGGCTTCTAATAAAATGAACATGAGCATTTCAGTTAATATTGGAGAAATATCTAAAAATGGAAGATAATGAAGCTTGAAATAAAATGATTTAACCATCTTAATTACTCAAGTAACTTCATGTCTCTCTGATTATATGACTTTGAAAACCGAAGTTAAATGTATATACTATGTTCAAGATCGATTTAGAATAAAAGACCTTTTTCCTCGGCCATTTCCCCCCCATCTCTCATCCGCAGTAAAACATTCCCATTTCCTAAAAGCGTTCTTGCATCCCACAAAAGGAAATTCTCACAGGTCGCTGATACGTTAAATCTAGGGCATTTTATATTGGGTCTCAAATATGGCCTTAAACTCCAGGCAAATATCTCCTGGCATATAAATATTTAATACCAAATATCAAGGAATATTATAAAACACCATATGGGGGTATTGTTTTCACTAACTCCCTAAAAAAAGAAAAGTTTGATCACCATTGTTCACGATTGCTTTTAGCAATTCTTAACTTGCCTGCACACAACTTTCGGTAAATAAAATTTTATGGCAACCGTATATAGCAACATATTCCTATAATCTATCATAAGACCATAAGGCGCTACTAGGGATGGATAAATTCTTCCCCCTCCTTAGGACAAAATACAGTTATCCTAACTCAAATAATAGATTGTACCCAACAGCAAGATTTACTAATAATTTAAACGACACAGAGCCCTTCCAGGCTCTTCCAGTTCGGTTAGGAAAATAGGGATATAAATACACAGACAATTCCCATAAGAGTGTTAACAAAGCAATTTTCTAATAAATACCCATCATTTAAAATGTGAGCTGCAGAAAAAGAGTTGGAAAAGGAAATAATAGTTATTATAAACTAAAGAGAGAGAACTGTAAAATTAAAGATAAAAAGCATACTTTCTTTACCCAAATAAATAGCCTCCTAAATTTTCACAGTTCACTGTGATCTAAGGTGTCACGTTATCCATTGAGCAGTCTGCATTGCGTGTAACACTTTAACATGCAGTTAAAACGTACATGTTAATTCAAACAACGGCTTGAGATTAAAGTAAAAAATTATTAGTATACTTCTGCCCTGGCGTGTGCTTTCAAGCATTACTAACTTATACTATGTTCCTTTTGCCTCTGAAACGAGTGTTGGATTTCCTTTCTAGGTTGGAAGCACGGTGTTTTTCAGGTGCAGAAAAGGGTACCATATCCAAGGTTCCACGACCCGAACTTGCCTTGCAAATTTGACGTGGAGTGGGATACAGACCGAGTGTATACGTAAGTGTGATTTCTTCCACCACGATCAGCAGTGACCTATTTATTATCTGACATCTCGGAAGTGTTTACCTTCAAGGGAAATAATGAGAAACTGTTCTGTTTTTGTTTGGCTTTGGTCCCCTAGTCCTAAACTTTGTTGCTCAGAGCGCGGTTGCCTAGAACCAGCAGCACAGCGGCATCTCCTGGGGGTCGAGTGGCGAGGCCAGTTCTCAGTGTGCACCCCAAGCCTATGAATCAGAGACTCGGCGTGCGGAGGACGCCAGTCTGTAGTTTTCCAAGCCCTCCGGGGGTTTATACCAGATTATTAAAGAGGGGGTGAACCGGGTCATGCACATGTCGGGATATAAGTAGAAATGTTTAAAATGGTATTCTTTCTGTATAGTTGAAATATGTATGAATTGATCATTCAAATAGTTGCTTAAGCATCAAATTTTATTTTATGACTTAGCCATGAGAATTAGAAAAAATGTTGTGTGAGTGATTAGTAAGTCAATCATTCATTTCACCTGCTATGAATTCAGTGAAATGTAGCGTCTTACTCTTACCTTGCTATGTTGAACATAAGAACATTAGTAGATGTTATAAAAATTATTTAATAGTATATAAGGGTTTTTGTATAATTATTGCTCATTATTATGTGTATTTATTTCAAAGCTACCTTCTCTAAACCACTACTCAAATTATATGTAAATGATATATACACACATATATGTATACATATATACTTGTATATATTAACATATACATATGTGTACATATACATACATGATATGGAGATTGATAATATCAGGTCTTCATTATGTTGCAAGTTTGAAAGGTTACTAAATTGTCAAATAATGACAATACTTAAAGCAATTGCATTCACAATTCTAAAATGGTAAACTCATTTTATAATAATCTGCCAATACCATTACTTAAGACATATGCAAACTTTACAAAGTTATTTGAAATATAGACTACACATTACAATCTCATTTACTCCTAAATTATATTTTAAAGGAAATAGGAATCTATAATATTTTAATTGTTTTGAAATACACTTCGAATTTTTACCAAAATTAAGTAAATAATAAATTTGCTAGATGCCACCAGAAAAAAGAAATCAAGACATATTTCTGAGTATGTGCCAGTCTGTATGAAATTGCCCTAAGGATTTATAAAGTATTATTTATTTTTTAAAATAATCTTTGTAGTGTATCAGAAGTGTTGTTTATTTCAAAGCTTTGATCTCTAAATCTTTACACATAACTACATATAAAAACCATTTCCAAAATCTTTTGCTCTATTTATTGCTTTTTTTAAAAAAATTTTTTTTATTCCATCATTTTTATTATCCTGGATGGAACTGGAGCCCATTCTGCTCTATTTATTTCCTTAGACACGTAAGCTAACTTTACAATGAGCAAAGTTTTACCGTTTCCTAATGGAACGAATACTATTTCAGCTCATGCCTGCAGGCAGCCGGAAACCCCAGCACACGCGGACGTGAGAGCCATCGACCTTCCTACGTTTGGCTACACCTTAGTGTACACCTGCCACCCAGGCTTCTTCCTCGCAGGCGGGTCTGAGCACAGGACCTGTAAAGCAGACATGAAGTGGACGGGGAAGTCGCCTGTTTGTAAAAGTAAGTCATCGATCACGGAGTGGAAGCGCATTCCTAAGGAGCGAGGAAGGGCTTCGACTGCCCGTCAGGCCAGCTCCCAGGTTTAAGGTTCATAAGCAACAGCATGACGCTAATAGCGCCATCTCCCCGCTCCCACCGTGCTTGCTGTGCGTGAGCTGTGTGTGCGCGGATGTGCGTTCCGTAAGTGTTGGATACCGTGGTGGCGTAGCTAAGCAGATACATAGACCTCACCATTTGCTGATTTCATTTTAAGCCAAAGGGAAAATCTAATTGGTTAAAGAAAAGCATCCTGAGTTAAAAGGAAAACAACACACAGTATGTTTTCGCAAAATGTATTTCTTAAAGATGGAAATCGATAAATATGACCAAGTACCTAGAAAAATATAAATTGAGCTTTCTGTGTAATTATGAAGACCACAGGATGTTTGTGGCAGACTATAAATGTATGTGTTCTTGACATTGGTTCTACGTTTTAAAATCACAAAAGCGATTAACTTGGAAGTGATGCATTAATGAATCACAAATTTGTGTGTTTACAAGTGAGAGTAATACATCTGGCTCAGATTTGTTAGTGGCTAAATCTGCAGGTTCCCAACAAACATAATTTATGTACGCACTGAGTACTAAACAGCATAAACAAAAATTATAACATACAATCAGGTCAGTGGCTTTAAGTTTAGTTTTCTGGGACTTGTTTATAATTCTTAAATTAGGAATTTTTAAGAGACATTTGTTTCCCTTGCCCTTCCCTGCTAGAAACAGAAGAATGCAAACTTTAAAAATGACAACTTGAAGTTCAATACATAACTATAAAAACTAAAATATTATGAGTTAAATCTAACTTGATAGACCAAATTAAACATTCTGCAAAGGAAACAATTTGATGTCCTTCAATAGCAATTTATAAATTCGTTGATTTGGGTGGGGGATTGGAAAATTAAAAAGGATTATGACATGTTAGTTATTTTGGATATGACCTCTCAGTTTACGTCAGGATATCCCCAAGAGGATGTCAGAAAGCTGATACAAGCCACCCTCGTTTGCAAGGCTCTCTGTTGTAGCACTTTACATGTAAACACACGTTAGACAGGCGTGCACTGAGTTTTCATCATTAAACTCAGCCTTCCTGCAGACACAAAGAATATCATGCTGCGAACACATGGGTTTAAAATGTAGGTGTATAAGGTATCCGTATTTTGTACATTTAAACAATCTGGAGAAAGAAAGGAAAACTGCTTCAATTTTACATTTTTTCAAACTTATTCAAAAAAAATAAATGTTTTTGAAAATGATAATTTGTCTTTTTACTTGTAGGTAAAGGAGTGAGAGAAGTTAATGAAACAGTTACTAAAACTCCAGGTTTGTATACCAGAACAGTTACAGATTTCAATCAAATAAAGTGATTTGTTCTCTACTATACTCTGTACAGTGAAACAATCTTTAACATTTAAATTTCTGAATCCATGACAACGTTAATGTTTCAGTTATTTAAAACACCAAGCCTACGTAGATTCCTGTTTCTTTCACGACAGTGGTTTGTTAATGAAATAACACTGCTTCACTTGCAAAGAAAACCTTGGATGTTACCACGAAGTTTCGTTAAAAGGTGTCTCAGGCATTTTGTAGGCAGGAGTGGACATGAAAAGTTGATCATGCCATGTGGTATAATGGAGAGCCTTATAAAGAGGGTTGCGGGCCTTGCCTCCAAGTGAGGAAGCTCTTGTAAATGAGGCGTTTTGACAGCTTAAGTTGTTAATTGGAATAGTTCAAATGTGGAGCCCCATTTTTTTTCCCACATATCTCCATAATTCAGGCATCCTCTGCCTCCTAAAACGCGAAGTATATTTTTTTGTCGTTGTGTCTGGTGCCTTGCTAAATGCATTCTGTAGCAAACCGGAAAGATGCGGTCCCACTCTCTGAGAAAAGTTTTCATCACCTGAAATCATTTGGCATATTCTGTCTGTTTCACAAATTTAGATACTATTTAAATAGCAAAATGTGTCCTCAAATTATATTCATTTAAGTCAAATTGGGTGTTTTTTGCTGTTGTTTTATCAGAAATAGAAAACCTTTGTAAATATATAAGGTTGTTTGACTAGTATTTTCTTTATTCAGGTGTTAACACTAGTTTCTTGAACATAAAGCACTATTTTAGAACCAAATGTGCAAAGAGCATTTGCAGAGTGCTGTTAACTCAGAATTCCGTGTTACACATTTAACCCTTAGACTAGATAAAATATACCAACATGGTTAAAGGAATTTCTCCAATTCGCACCATGAAGAATGAAACATATTTTTAAAATCTTTCTGGACTATTTTATTTAAATATTAGTTACAAATCAAGTACAGAAGTCAATACTCTTTATCTAGGCAACACTTTCTTCAAGGGAAGGAAACAATCTCTTTTTGTTATCGTCGTTGTGTATTTGTTCTGTTTTTTATTTGCTTTTTTGTATTTAAGATATTGAAATGTATACATTCTCTTGTAGTAGGTGCAAATGTTATCATCAATATACCTTTTCTCACTTTCTCCAAACGGAAATGCTAATCAAATCAGTTCTTTAGTGAGACGGTACATTCTAGCACAGCTCAGCTACTTGATCTTGCATTGCGCTGCACACCACCCTAACAAGGGAAAGGATAAGGACCCCAAAAGACTATTTCTACCACATGACTGACGGTCACATTTGGATACACAGAAGCCACTTCTAAGATACTAATTATACCCTATTCTACCCAGGCAGAAAACTTCAGTGAATGGCATGAACAGGTGTATTAATATCTTCAGATGAGTATATACGTTCTAATTAGGGAAAGCAATCTTGGTATTATTTTAAAGACTATTAATTGTAGTAAAGGAAGATGAAGTCATTTGGGGGGTGCTCGTTATAACAGGGTCTCTTTATGCTGCTGATGGATAAGTAGAAATGTTTAATGTCAGTCATTTATAAGCAAATGATAGGTACTTGGTATGTCAGTTTTAAATTATTATTATTATTAGGAAGGAGCATCTATTCAAACCGATAGGAAGCTATTACATTCTGTTCTTTAACTCTTCTGTTGCCAGCCTGAGTTTCGTAGGCTCAGCCTGCTTAGGAAGGAAAGACGACGTCCAGTTTGGCTGAAAGGGGAATCACGAACACGGGCACAATAGACTTCTGTGTTCATCGTTCGTGACTATAAGTGGATTTGCTAAAAAAAAAAAATACATTTAGGGAGAAATGAACCTTTATTTCTACCTAGAAACTCACACAATGTGTTTGGACCAATTCAACTTACGGTGGATCTTGTCTCATTAAATAACTTAGGCACATCATAGGGCAAAAAGCAAAGAGAAGCTTAGTGGACTCACTGATGTAGATTTATACAATGTAATACTATTCATTTTTATTAATATTGTGAAAATTGCAGGATTTTATACATGTTTAACAGAGATGTGAAAAATGAGTTTATTTTTTTCATAAGCAGTGAAAACCAAGGGAAAATATCTCAATAATCCTTGCAAGGTTTCCTGTCCCAGATTAGTTTTATGTTTTAAGAAGACTTTATACCTGTTAGTACTGAATGTAAAAGTCATAAATATAAAAGAGATATTTGAGATTATTGAACCCACCCTTCTTAGTAATATTGGAATATTGTGTGTTAGGAGATTAAAGTGGAAGAGGAGAGCGTGAGAAAGATTTGCTCCACCGACAAAATAAAACCTTGAGAAAGGAAAGACTGTCATCTTCGTGCGCTGGTTATATCCAGTCGAAGTGGCTCTCGGAAATGCAAGCATTTTGAGGGCGGGGCATTCCCGACAGAGGGTGCATGTCAGGCAAGCTGAGCCTTCTCAGTCTTTCCAAGAGTAGACTTGGACGTTAGCGAAATATCAGTAGTGACTTCCTGGGGCAGTTTAACACATTTTTCACCAAGCACAATAAAAACCAACCTACCGTCAGTAGTGCCGATTCGCCATGCCCCGCTGGCCTCGCACGTCTGTTAGCACAGGTGGCTTTGGCTTCTGAAACACTTTCCAGCAAGGAAACGAACGTCTGCCTGCGCACCACGGCGATGCCCCTCCCGGTGCCTTCCGCCTGGGGCACCTGCCGCGAGAGGACAAGGCGCTAGGTTACCTTTGCCTTCATTCTTGTCATCGTCTGTGATCTCTCACTGAGCGATTGTGCCTTCTGTGTTTAAAAATGCCCGGACTCGATGTTCGCGTGTGCGCTGACATGCGTGTTTCCCCGTTCCTGCAGTTCCTTCAGATGTGTTCTTCGTCAACTCGGTGTGGAAGGGATATTACGAGTATCTGGGGAAAAGACAGCCCGCCACCCTCACCGTTGACTGGTTCAACGCGACGAGCAGCAAGGTGAACGCCACCTTCACCGAAGCCTCCCCGGCGGAGCTGAAGTTGACAGGTGGGCCCGGGGGATTCGCTCGGTGGTGGGCGCGAGCAGACACGACCGTTATCTTACCAGAAAGGGGCCATCTCACGTCTCTTAGGTACTTATGAGGGTCGTGTTGGCTTTGCACACATGACATCTTATTGGGGCTGCTCCGTAACCAGGGCAGGTTGGTGTTACTTTCTCATTTTAAAGATTACAAAACCAGGACAGAAAAGATGATGCATAGAACATATTAAGTCCAGGATCTGAGATTCACATCCAGATGTGCCGTCTCCAAACGTTATTCTTTTTATATCCTTTTTCTTAACTCGTGTTCCTCATGAGTTACTTTTTTTATTATCCCACAATTAATGTAATGACAGCTCTGATTTGCAAGGCAGACACTATTTTAAGCATATTACACATATTTATCTTTCTTACATTATTCCTACGATGTAGGTACTCTTATTATATACATTGTTTTTACTGATTTTGATAGAAAGGGAGATACATTTACCCAGGAAAATCACGTAGCTTTCCTAAGGTTCCCTGGTAAGTAGTTGGCAGAGACAGGGTTTGAACTCAGCAATCAGAATCCTGAGGCCACGCTCCTAACCGAGAAGCACAGTATCACCCTGACGCCTGCATCCAGGGCAATTAAAAAAAGAATTACTTTGTTACTTATGACTATGTATCGTTTTCAGTAGACTGACTCTGAAAGGCTTGAGATTCTCCCTCAGTTATCCACAAGTCACAGCTCTGGTTCTGATCACCAAGAAGCCCCCGCATGTCACCCTGTCTCACTAATCAATAGACGGCCCAATGACCTTTGGGGAGTGTGGTAGCGGGTCAAGGCCCCCGCCCCTGCACATTCCTCGTTCCTGCTTCCTCGGACGTGAACAGGTCTAAAAATGGTGCGTTTGCCCTGGAGTGCGGAGGGCAGACTCACTCCTGCTCGCAGGTGTTTTACAGGCGTCTGTGTGGACGCGGTCTCAGGCCTGAGGGTTTCCTTACACCGTGCACCTGCGAACGTACAAATGATTTAGACCAGCTGCTTAAGTCACGTGTCAAAATTAAGAAACTTTTAAAATATGTGACTTCCTTAATCTTACTCAAGTGAATTCGATAATATTTTTCTTCGTGAAGTCAGGGGCTTCATGGGCGCAACTCAGATTAGAAGTAGCCATATTGGGGGTTATGGTTTTGGTCTCTTTTTTCTACACACTCCTGTCCTCGGAAGTGAATATAATGTGGATTAAAAAAATCTGAATTTTTTTAATTAGGAGACTTGAATACACATTGCTTTTATTCTTTCCGTGGGATAAAGATGTTGAAGTTAGTGAAGTGTATTATAGCCACACAAGATCAACAAGGATTTAATAAGAAGTGATTTTTCAGGGGGAAACAAGGAGGTGCTGAGGCTAAAGTTTACAAATATAAATGAAATTTCTATGTGAGTTTTCTTTTGTCTGCAATATGATCGTTTCTGTACCATGGATCAAATGGCTGAATTATTAACGCTGTGGATCCCTGCAAGGGAAGGCTGACCAGCTGGTCTGTTCGCAGGAGTTTACAAGAAGGAGGAGGCCCACTTACTCCTGAAAGCTTTTCAGAGTAAAGGCACAGTAGACATCTTCGTGAGCAAGTTCGAGAACGACAACTGGGGGCTGGATGGTTACGTAAGTACCCATGTGGGGTTTGCGACGGGCTTTCTAACCATCTCTGTCTGCACAGAGGGCTCAGCTGTCCCCTCCGGCCGGCAGGGCCGTTTTGCCCCTTTGTGTCATAACGAAAGGAAGTGGGGCTCTGAAATGAGAAACGAATGGGCCAACTGTTGTTCCTGTCGAGAACAAAACAAGACCCTAAATCCAGGCTCTGTGCCGTAAACACCACGCTCCATCCTAAGAGTGGTGCAACCCCAAATTCTCCAAGAGCACTGGGCAACCGCTTGGAGTTTTGAAGAAAATCACTCCCAGATAAACAGAGATTTACGGTGTTCCCCCGAAAATCCTTCTTTGCAAGTTAACCGTTTATGTGAGTTCTAATTCACTGTCTGACTTCAGGGTGCGCAGCCTCCCGTGACGTACATAGGCCAACAGCTGTGACAGGAAGTGGGTTTTATGTAATGTAGGTTATTTACCGACTCACACGTCTGTCCCCCTCAGGAAGGTGGGATAACATCTGAAAATGATTGAGGTCAAAATGAGAAAGTAAGCATTTCTATAAGTTCGTAGAGGATTTACATAAGTCTGGATGGATTTCCGATTTTTAACCAAGAATGTGTCACTAAAGAGAGCCCCCAAAATAAACTACTTAACCTGTGGTATCTAAATCCGAGACAGGGCAGTCGTATTATGATAAAAGAAGAGATCACCATTAAGTCCTGCCTGTTCTTTTTTCCTTCTGTCTTTTCTTTGCTGCGTATCAGGTATCATCTGGACTCGAAAGAGGAGGGTTTACTTTTCAAGGGGACATACATGGAAAAGACTTTGGAAAATTCAAGCTGGAAAGGCAAGGTAAGCCGCACCTGAGATATTTGTAAAGCGAGACCAGGCTGAGGAGGAAGGGAAGGGGCGTAGCTCCGGAAGAAACACAAACAAAAACATCAGGAGTGGAAGAGTCTCGTGAACAGCGAAACAGGCAGACACAAGGCTGGAACTAACGTGACCAGCATGCCAGGCATGGAGTTAATACGCTCACTGTAGCGAGAGTTATTAAAATACAAGGGGAAAAAAACGAAGATGAAACACAATTAAAGAAGAAGTAAACTATATTACTCTAAGGAAACTAACATTTTTTTTAAGTAAAAAAAAAAGTGAGAATCATTAAATGCCCAACAAACCTATGAAAAGACCTTAAAAAAATCTCTACATAGTAACAAATATAAATAATTTCTGGCTGTCAGAAGGGCAAAGTTTAAAAAAACAGTATTGGATTGATAGTAGAAATAGACATTCTGGTGTTTAATTCTGGCGGATCTGTGAGTCAATATGTACAATTTTGCAGTAATTTTTCATCCAACAATTCTCCCTAGAACTTTTATTCAGACAAGTGTGGAAATTATTCCCTGAATACTCAGCCATGTCCTAGCAGGACTATTTTCGATACTTGAACTTAGAAATAACCTCTACGTGTTTCACATCTATCATAAAGGAATTGCTGCAAAGGATAATTTTATGTGATGAATTACATTCAATAGAGAACAATTATATTCCATATATTTCATTAAAGGAATGAGGGCTATATATTGACATGCAAAGATGTTCATGGCTCACATATGAGAAAAAAATTAGACAGGTAGGTCCTCTTTCCTGCTTTGTAGCTTTGTTATTAAATTTTTACCTTAGTAATTAGAGAAGGAACATCTGTGGAAACAATCGCTAGATTTCAGTGTTACCTACTCTACTTGCTGTTTTTGTGATCTTGGATGAGTTACAACGTTCTTGAGCCAATTTCTTCATCCGAAAGCTCAGTACAGACGTTCCCAGGGTGGTTACGAGTTTAAGAGACAACAGAAGCGATTGCTTTGTATACACAAAAGCTCTTTTTACACACAAGCCCCTAAACTTGTCGAGACCTATATAGAAAAGAAAAAGCATTTTGTAATGAGATTAGCACCCTATTCCCCACACTTGTAGAACACTATTAACCTATTAATTTTATAAAGAAGAATATTACCATGTAGGTATCAGAGACATCTTTCAGAGGAACATGTGTCAAGTTTTGTGATGATTATCACTAATGAACTTATTTCATAAGTCTTTTATCAAGATCCTGAGGGTTTCTAGAAGAGATACATGCCAACCTGTATATTAATATGCTTTAAAAAACTGATCAAAAAGGATATTTAATCATAAAATACTTCCGCCATTCCAAACTCAGTACTATTAAATAGAAAAACTTTAAATTATGATGTCAGCAGTGGTGGAGATAATATTTTAAATTGGGTTACATGGTTCTGAGGTAACGCAATAGAATAAATGCCTTAGACCAACACTAACGACAGGTAACATTTTTTCTCTTGCTCTAAGCCAAACCCTGTTGTTATTTGTCCTCCTTTCCCCCTGCAGTACACGCTCTAGTAATTGCGTTCAAGAAAACCCCAGTGAGCTGTACAAGATACTGAGCTGATCTCTAAGTTTACTCATCCAATAAACCTGACCTGAGCTATCACTTTGCTGTTTCAAAAAAATAATTTTCTTTGCATTACCCTGTTTCTTTAGAATCTAACAATGTAACAGCTTGCTTTAACAAGTTGTCTTTATTCCAAAGTAATAATGAGCTTATTGTCAGGAGAAACAATTTGCTTCACAAAATAATTTGAATCCCCAAATAAATCTCCTATTCACCTAATTAGAAAAGTCCGTGTTTAAGTAATGCTATAACAACAGCCATTCAAGACTGATGGCCAAAATCTATTTTTATGAATAAAAATAAACAACCCCCTAATTATCTCGAGTCAGCAGATGAACCAAAGACAGTGATTTTTATTAAATGGCTACTGAAATCAACTTAACTTGAAAGACAACTTCAATGCAAAAACTTGCATAAGAAACACAACAATAAATTTGTTTCTCCATTAACATAGAATGACTCTCCGCACACACAGAATGAGCGAAAATATGTGAAAATCAGGTATCTGATAAGTGACTTGAATTATATAAAGAACTCCTATGGTTCAAAAGCACGAAGACACATAACCTAATGAAAAATTGTCAAAGGATTTGAATAGACATTTTCCCAAAGGCATACAAACAGCCAATAAGCCCATGAAAAGATGTTGGACATGATTATCATTAGGGAAACGCAAATAAAAAGCACACTGAGATATCACTTCGCGTTGCTAGGATAGCTATGATTAAAAAGTCAAAGAACAAGTGGTGGCAAGGATACGGAGAAATCGGGACTGTCGCACTCTGCTGGTGAGCCGTAAAACCACGCGGCTGCCGTGGGAACAGCTCACCAGTAGTTAAACACGGAGTTACCGTGAGGTCCAGCAATCCCACACCTGCGTGTACCGCCAGAAGAACTGAAGACACACGTTCACGTGAAAACTTGTATGCGGACGCTTACGGCAGAATTACGTGTAACAACCCGGGTGTGGAAACAATTTAGATATCTGCCCGCTAACGATGGCTAAACAGAATGTGGCATCTCCATCTGATGGAGTATCAGCATTAAAAGGAAAGGAAGCTCTGATCCACGCTACGACGCGGAAGGTCCTTGGAAACGTCTTGCCGAGAGAGAGAAGCCGGACACAGAAGACCCCACGTCGTGGAGTCCACCGACGGGAAATGCGCAGAACAGGCAGATCCGGACACACGGGGAGTGGTCAGCCGTCGCCCGGGGCTGCAGGCTCGGTGAAGGATAGGGATGACACCACGAGGGACTAGGATGCTTTGCAGGGGGATGGTGCTCTAAGTTAGACTGTGGTGATGATTGCACCCCCCTAAGAACACACTGGAAAACCCTCAATTGCACGTACAGGCTAAGTGGATGCATCGTCTAGTACGGGATGCGCCACCTGGCGAGGGTCTCACCTGCGGTGGTCTCATAGGTTATACCAACCTGGAGAGTTCCTGCCGCCTAGTGACCTGGTAGCTGCTGTGACACCATAGTGCAAGGCCCTGCTCTCGTAGGAGCAGTGGGCTACACCTGCCGCGCAGGTGCGTGGCAAGCTGTGTGGGCCAGGTTTGCGCGAGCACGCCTCGTGCCATTCATGCGATGACAAAGTCGGCGAACAACACGTTTCTTAGAACATACAACCCTGCCATTAAAAGCATCACGCCTATGTGTGTGTTTCCTCCCACAATGCTCTTCAGAAAATCAATGACCTAGCTCATCACGTGTGGAAAGATGCTCACCCTCGTTCTTAATAAGTGCAAATTAAATAGTACAACAACTGAATACTACGTTTGATTTCTCAGACCAGCAGCAGTTGTAGTAGTAGTAGGAGTAGCAGCAGTGACAATAGTCACATGAGGAAGACGAGACAAGCAGAGGGGAAGGGGACAGCGGCCATCAGAGTATACAGTTGTCCACCTGTTTTTGTCGTGGCCCTAATAGGCGGTCGGGGTGAAGCTGCAGCACCCTTTGGAGAGCGGTTAGGTGAGATACAGCAACGCTGGAAGGTATGAATTCTGTCAGGCAACACGTCTGCCTCTTAGAATGTATCCTGTATAATTTAGACCCCTACTAACGTGTAGATACAGACGGAGGGTTTCATGGCAGTGTTACAGAAAAGACTGGAAACAGCCTACCTGTCCCCGAACAGCAGACTGGCCAAGTGAATGCTGTTGTGTCCAGTCTCTACCTTAAAAGTTAAGTCCGATTCATACGTATGAATCTGAATGGAAGAACTTCACAAATACGTGGCTAAGGCTAAAATCTGCATACCAAAAATGTAAATAGTGTGCCCAATGTTTAGAAAAATTAAGAAGGAAACGATCATTTTTTTTGGAAAAATACACACACACACACAATGCCCTATTAACCATGAAGGTCAGCGTATAGGGCAAGAAGTGATTTTTTATTTTCGTTTTCCTTTACATTATTTGCTTTCATAGCTTTTATGCCATTTTAATTACTACCGTGCACATGCATTACCCTTCAGATTATTAAAACGAGGACAAACAACTGAAACTAACAAAGCATTCCAGGCAGCATAATAATAGTTTCAGTTTGTTGTGTAATTCACAAAGCCCTTCGTTTGTGTTGTTCGATGTCGTGATGCGACGTCTCTTGTGACGTGTAGATTTTCCAGAACTTTATGGACTGGAATTTTGATATCTATCGTGGACAAAAGTATATAGTTTTGTTTGAAGACGACTGAAAATAGTGGCTAATTGAAGTAAATACGAATTTATTAGAATGAGGCGAAGAGACTCACAGAATTGTAGAATCCTGAAGCATGAAATGTGGCCACTTCCCAGAAACGGAAAGATATTTGGGTGCTGAAATACTACGAAGACAGAGCCGTTTTCTTTTCTCTTTTTTATTTTATTTTTCATTTTGCACAGAGGGACACTTTCTGTCCCCAAGGCTCTAGCGCTACCACAGCCCTGGAGTAAATTCTGAACTGTCCCAGGATGCCTTGCATCGCTCACCCCAAATCCAGCGCCTGGGGTGGGAGCATCCGATTAGCTTCACTCAGCTCACCTGCCCGTCACCTCAGTGCGCAAATTTAGCGACAACAGGTGTCTGGCATTTTCCTTCTGCAACATGGTGCGGGAGGATCTCAAAAGGATACGGTTAAGTTACACAAAGCCAACATCCCTCACAAAGTACTTTCATATTAGACCTTAAGACAGTAGGCAGTCATAATCTCGCATCCGTCGGAAGCAAATGGCAAATAATATCATTTGGAAGTTTTTATATGAACATTTAAAATTTTGATATAAGTGGTGATTTAAAGTTTTTTAGCATTCATTTTTTTTTTTACATTTATGGTTTGTTAAAAAATAAGTGAAACGACTTCTCTTTCAATTTGACATTCCATAAATTCTGGAAATATACTTCTAGAAACAAGATCAGCTTGTTCTCAACGATTCTGCTGTATTCAGAAGACTGCAGTCATAATTCACCATGCAATTTGGCCAAATACTGGTCAAAATCATATTTTATCGTAAACTCTGGAACTATTTCCTTCTTTGGCAAAAGTTGCTTAATAAAGGTTCGCTGACTTTACTTTTCCGTGTTTGCCTCTCGGTGTCATGCAAGGATGTGACAACCAGAGTCTGGACTGTGGAGTTAACGATTCCACCACCTTCCTGAAGTTTGCGATGGTTACTTCTGCCTTCTTCCTAGTGGATAAAAGTCATGTTTCACCATTCTTTTTATCCTCATAGAAACTTGCATTTTAACACTGAGCTGCGTGGTTCTTTGGAGTATTTCCACTTGCAGGGACAAAGTTCAGAATCTACCTAAAATAAAAGCAGGTTATGCAGTGTAGTCACATATGAATGACGCAATGCCGTTTATGTAGAGAACTGAGATGTTTACATAATCTCAACGACTGATATTTTGCTGAATCTGGCCCAGGATGGGAGAAAACAGCAAATAGCCCTGATCTCTGACTATAGACAAAAACGTACAAACACTTTCAGTCCATTTTTATGAAAATGCAAATATCTGTAACTAAAACCAAAAGTCAGAGCGTAGAGTGACCCTTTTTCCTTTCTTACATTTCAAATGTGAGAGTCCTTCATAGTACTGTCGGGTGTTACTAGGAAATGGTTTTTTGTATCTTGGTGATAAAAGTGGAATTAAAATCTTTAGAAAAGAATATCAATTGGTTCCCTGTGGAATTGCAACTCCTGCTTGTAGAGATCATACCCATTTATAAAATTTATCATCCATATGTCTTTGCTTAAGCCTAGTGCAACCACCACAACTCAAATGTTCCTTTTACCTTCCAGATCCCTTAAACTCGGATCAAGACTCTTCCAGTCATTACCAGGGCACCAGCAGCGGCTCCGTGGCGGCGGCCATCCTGGTTCCATTCTTTGCTCTAATTTTATCAGGGTTTGCATTTTACCTCTACAAACACAGGTACTGTGAAAACGGTATTTGAAACCGCATGCGTGTGAAGTGTCGGTTTGAGCAGTGTGTGTGCACTCGCGCTCCCGTGCACGCGTGTTCTGTATTGCTACACGCTATTATCTCTCGCATTAAGAATGCGTACATATCAAGGTTTCTGTTGTTTGTGTTTTGAGGGTGTTTTGGGGTTTGTTTTTTGTCCTACTTTTTCAGCAGGACAGGTCCGAGTGATAAGAGAATGAACGACTTGGTTAAGAGACAACACGCTCTGTTTCCTGTTCCATTGAAAGATGAAGCAAAGCAGACTGTTCCCACTTTAGGGTCCAGGGCAGCTACCAGAACATTGAGATGGTGTTTCTACCTCCCAGGAAAAAGGGCGAACGAAATGTTCTCCGTGGCTGCTCCCAACTCCACAAATTTGTGATCGATACATTTTTATCGATTCCTTCCTTCAACAAATGGAAATTTAGCGCTCTATCTATTAAGAATTCTTAGATGTTCTACCCCCGAAAAAGCTTTCTGAGTATCTATTAATTTGCAACCCCATACTAAAAGGAACATGTCAAAACTTGGGGAAAAGCCGCTTTAATGAAATAGAACCTCTCATAGGGGTTTATATGAGTGCCAAAAAGAAACGATTTTAGAGGGATTATAAAGATATTGTGCATTTCGTCTCTGTATGGATAATATATTACCTGGAGCAATTTGACAATGCCAAACTACGCTAAAATATTATTTGAAACAGTAGCCTTGTCTGCAAGTACTAAGGGAAAAATTACAATCCCCTAAAGTAAAGTTAAAGTATGTTAAATGAGCCAAATGTTTATTTATATAATATAGATATTTCGACTTAATCCTGGTTAAAATTAAAAAAAAAAATCCTTGTGTGAGAAAGTTATTTTTTTAAATAATTCATGGAATATCTTCTTTAAATGTGTGTTTTCTTGTGCTTGTTTTTGAAAGACAAAATAGCAAGAATGTTGCTTCAAAGTTGTATAGTTTTAGCTGCTTGGGTGAATGTCTTCCCTTTTCAGTGGTTGGTAATGTTCTTACTTAAAAATATAACCCAGTGAAAGAAATTTCAGATGGTGCTTACAAAACTGAAGATTGACATATCTGTATTTTCTTTAATTTGGAAAAAAATTTTAAAATTCCATAGTTAGAGGTGCTTCTCTTCTTAAAAAGATATAGATTAAAAATATATCTCCTTTCGCAGATTCCTCTAGGTAATATGATACCTTATGGAGACACGCACTATAGGAATTTATAATTCCTACAAATTCATTCGCGCTGTCTTGGCATCCACATTAACCCCGAGGAAAGGGTCTAGTCCATTTAAGCGATTTTCCTTCAACTTTCAACATTTTCCCGATCGGTAGGGAGACTTCAGCTAGTCCTGTCTCGGCCTGTGTGCCCAGAGGTTGGACAGCGTCCCTGTGTGGGACAGCTGTGCCTCTGTGTGCCCCAAAGACGCAAACCTCCACGGGAGCCTCAGACTCTCTTGTTCTTTGCAAAGATACTCCCGCACAGTCATATGTATTTACACGTAAATTAAATATGACTTCTGCTTATATCTAGCATTGGGGGGTATATTCAATGTACACCCCAGCTTTAGTCTTTAAACCTTAGAAACCTCCATCTCGATGTTCAGAAGTTATCATAGCTGCCTGGGTGCAGGTAGCGCCCTGGGCGGAGATCCCAGACTACACAACCAGGTGGGGTGAGGTTTCCCTTGTTTCTATGCAGATGTGAAAGCTCCTCTGGGCTGGCGGGGAGTTCCATGTTGCATGATTGGGTTCCCTTCCTTCCCAGCGCCGCGCCAGATCCAAGCGGTGTCTGGAACATGAACGACACTCTGCCGTCTCCTGGCGCTCAAGAGGATGGTCCTGAGGCCCCGGTGACATCTAAATCTGTAGGGTTTTTAGTTCTCCACTCCTGTGCCATGTGAGGGATGTCAGAAGTTTCCAGAAGCAGGAACCAGGGCCAGGGGCCAAGCCCTACATCAGGCCCCTTCTCCCAGGTTCTTGCCACTCGCCAAGGACGTGCCAGGCCCTGAGCAGCCCCCCGCCCCCGCACTGGCTTCTCAGCCTCTATGGAGACACACAGTTCCTAATGGCTTGGCTTTGTATCTCTCCAGATAAAACCTCGTTTCTGCTCATTTTTGAGTCTCTTTCTTGTTCCTGAGCTGGAAGATGTGTTGTCAGGCAGAGCCCGATGTCCCGACCCAGCCCTCCACGTGGTTGGGCCGAGCAAGTTCCCTCTCCGGGGTCCGGGTGCATCGGATCCGACTGGTCCTGCATGTCCCGAGCAATGAGGGGACAGAGGTGGCTTGTGATCTGGGTGACTGAGAGAACATGTTGGCCAGGTCCTCACGCCATTAACGGGAGACAAATTTGTCTGCTGGCTTCTGCTGCTGGAGAATTTTCCAAGTTCAATGTCACGGACCTCTCTGGTTCCAGGGATGGTAACAAACTGCCGTTCTGCCGGTTTCTGAAGCCAGGCAAGCTTCACTTCTCTTTTTCTTAATGAATATACGATAACTTAAGAAACCCTACTAGTAAGCAATCAAAGCAGGTGTTTATTTATATCCAATATCAAATTATTTTATTAAAATTCTGTCTTGGCCACCTGGCCTATTTTTCTTATGTAATTTCTTCTTATAAAAGGAACCAGACCAGGTATGTTTAGCTCTCTTACATCTTAAAACCCTCTAACGCTCTAATCATGGACTGTATGTAGGGGTTTTCTTTTAACCATAAAACATTAATAATAGTTTTAATAGTGAGTATAAGCTATTTTCCTACAACAGATTCATTTTTTTTAATTTATATCTTTTTTTTTATTATTATTCCAGGGTTTTGTGAGGGTACAAACATTATAGTTACACTTTATTTTTAACTCACCAGAGACAAAAAATCAAGAATAGCCAACATTCAGTGAGGGATGGGAATGGCAGCGAACCGCAGGCCTGTGACTGTGACTTAGGTCAGTCTCGGAGCCCTAAAGGGCAGACATCACACTCCGCATCCTTATTTTGCAGAGTAGGGGACAGTTCAGCGACCCAAGGCCGTGTGACTTCTCAGCCGTAGGCGGACGCCCAGCCACAGCCCGTCTGACGCCAGCTTTGAGACCTTGCCAGGTTCCCACGAGCGTCTGTGGGAAGCACAGATTATTCTTTGATTTGGAAATTGCTTCCATTTTTTAAACCCTCTTTATAACCCCGACCACCGATTTAAAACAAAAAAATACACTCTGAGTGAGGAGAGTTCCGACGCGCAAACCCTGTTACCCGCACGCTCTCTGCTCGGGGACTCACGTCCCGCGCGCGGCCCTCGCTGCTGCGCACGCTTCATTGAAACCGGGACTCTCATGGTTGGTTTCCTCTGTTCCTTGCAGAACAAGACCCAAAGTTCAATACAACGGCTACGCCGGACACGAAAACAGCAACGGACAAGCTTCCTTCGAAAACCCCATGTACGACACAAACTTAAAGCCCACGGAAGCCAAGGCCGTGAGGTTCGACACCACTCTGAACACGGTGTGCACGGTGGTATAGCCCCGGCGCCCGGCAGGCCGGCTCGTAGCCATACCTCCGACGCACAGCAGCGACTCCTTTGGTGCCATAGACCACTCTCCCTCCGCCCGCCCTGCTGCAGTGACCGGGGCGGCGTCCGCGGCCTCCACGCAGCGGGGATTCCTGCTCGAACCTGCCGGAGCCTTCTGAGGACCGAGCACACGCGCATCTCCATCCCACAAGTGGATTCTGAACGCCTGGCTGCCTCTGCCTGGGGTCTAGACACGCGCAGGGAAGACAGACGGCCGGGTCCGGCCGGCGTCACACCCCACGCCTCAGACTGCCGCGTTTCTGTGTCGCTGGGATGCCTTTCAATGCAATCTTCCGGGCACGCGGATACACCCTCCGGGTGTGGTGACGGAACGGTAGCACCACAATGTGTGTGTGTGTGTGTGTTTTTTTTAATTAACCCCCATGAACATGAATACTCTGGAAAAAAAAAATAAAAAGCTTTTTGAAGAAGACACCTTTCTGATAGACACACACACAAGCAGACGCTTCCCTCTGTCCCTCCGACACCCGACAAGCTGTGAGGACCTCCCAGCTCCGTGTGTCCGTCCCAAGGGACATTTGCAAATTTCCCAGTCAGCTGTTCTGTTGCAGAATTTTTGATGCACAATGTTTTGCACTAGTGTGTTACGAATGACTGAGTAAGATTCTGATCAATCTATTTACACAGGGTTTACACACACGCTCTTAGTACACAAGCATCCTTTCATGTTGTCAAGCTAAACATTCCACCGTCAGCCTAGTTGGAGTGCGAGGAAAAATCCACAGATAGGACACAGATTCTAGAAGGAAATACAGCATTGCAGAGATTTATTTTATTATTGCTTCCATTAGCTGAATTCACCGAAGAGGTCCAGTGAGAAAAAAAAAAGACCCTTTTTAATTCCCATGTTTTCTTCCTTTAGTACTTACAGTCATCATGCAATTGTTTATATCATACTACTTATGAGCAGGGGGGTTGCATACATTTCTATCTGCCGTGTAAAAATGTGAATAGTTATTTATTTTAGATAGCTCGTGGACTTGTGGGTTTTAGCTCACAACGCAGTCTTCCCTTTTGCATTGTTTTTGGTTTTGTTTTGTTTTGTTTTATTCTTCTACTACGCCATCACTCTCTGATATTGCATTGAAAGACAGGACACCACAGTGACACCTCGAACAGTGAAAATTGTGCGGGATCCAAATACCAAGTGTTCCTTCGGAGGTAAGGAGAAATAACACACTCTCCTCTCACGATGCTACATCCTATCTGTAGTTTGCCTTTCGTTCCACGCTTTACGATTCCAGACGGGAAGAGAACGTCGGTGGTTTCTCAAGTTCAAAGTTCATTAGAGGTCAGTTATGAGCTACGGTATAAATAAAAGAGGTCAGAATCCCCAACGCGGACAGAATCCGAACACGACGTAGAAGCTATGACCAGGAGAATGTCGATGTAACAAATTCAAAGTGAAGATCATGTTTATTTTTATTTATACTTGTTCGATAAAAATATTTTTGAAAAGATAATGCTTATTTTATTATTTCATGTGTAAGTACCTGCCTATCCCCCACGTGGAAAACGCCCCCGTCCGGCACCCCGGATTGGCGTCGGGAGAAACGTCGGGATGTTCACATCGGCCTTCACTTTGCTGTCGCGGACACAGCCGCACCCAGATTTCAGACGTGTGTGTCCGTCTGTCTCCTGAGCGTTCGAATGCAGGACTTGGAAAGTGCAGAAGGAAAAGGAGACCCTGTCGGGGGAACAGGGCGTTCTTTCGAAAGTCCTGCGTTTCGGTTGGGGCGTCTCCCTACGTGTCTTCCCTGGGCTCCCGCCGTTGCCTTCCCGCTGGAGGGGTGTGTCCTGTCGGGGGTGCACTGGCCCCCCTGGCGGCTCCTCTGCCTCGTGAGTTCCCTGGCAGTGGGGTCCACGTCAGCAGGCTGAGTTCTCCGCACGTGCCCCCCAGGCCAACGAGGACAGCAGCCTCCCAGATTCGCTCTGCAAACGGGAATCCTCCCGGAGCCGTCTCCGCGTGGAGAGGGGAGGCCGGCAGCGCGCTCCTGACACGCACAGCAAGTGAAGCAACGTGGAAAGCTCGGGGACCACTGTGTGCGAGGGAGAACAGGGTCACTATACGTAGCAGGTGTATATATATACATATATATATATTGTACATATCTAAGTTCGAGCCATTCAAACTAGGTGCAAAATGCTGACTTGAGAGTCTGAATGAACGTCTCTGTGCCACATCCCTGACCTGCGTGCGGTCAGCGACGTCACGAAATCCTGAGATGACGGGACCTACATCCACACGAGAAATCGCGTATCAGATTAGATATTATTTTCCTTTCTGTGCAAAGTCAAACTGTCCTACGGTTGCCAGTTTGGAGCATGTTATTTAAAAGAAAAAAAAAATTCAGCGAAGTTCTCCTGTGAGAATTCTGCCCGGTTTCTCCGGGGGGTGTGCGGTTCTGAGCGAGGCTCCCACGAGGGGCCGGGGATCTCGGCGGGGCGGTCAGGAGACGCGCTGGCCCGATGGGACTGGAGGACTCTTCCCCGAGGGCGAGCGGACCGCGCGGGGGAAGCGACCACTCGCGAAACGGGACACGTGCTTCAGAGCTGTTTAAAACTGCTGCTTGTCTCACCCACATCTTGCCTTTTTTCAGGCTAGCTGCAATAATTTTTTTCTTCTGTAAAATATTTTGTAAACAACAACAACGACAAAAAGCTATTATAAACGGGGAAAAATAGAACAGAACGCTGGCATCACGATCAGGAAAACCTGTCGCCGCCGCCGCCGCCCCTCCCGCCGCCCCTCCACACGCTGCTGACACCAAGTAGGTGCAAAAGACCTTTTTGTACAGAGATATATTTTTTATGAAGAATTTGTAAAATTATTAAATATGCTGTAATTTTTTGATTAATGTAGGTACATTGTTAAAAAGAAATAAATGTTTTTACGATACAGAACTGTAATTTTCCCGATAATGTAAAATGCACCCTCTCTAGCGGATTTTCTGTTCCAATCCTATTCCACATGTATTAATATTAAAGTGGCCTGTTAAAATGAACAGTATCTTTTTTGTCAAAAAAAAAAATTATAAAGAGAGTGTAATATAGCCTGTGCAATGCCACCGATCTTTAAAGCAAATCAGAGTTCTAATTAATTAAATATTTAATTTTAGACTTCTATTTCGTGGTGTGAATTTATTGTGGTTTCCGTGGGTGCACATTTAGGTCCGGGGCAGGGGAGGGGAAGAACGGAGGTGTTTGTAACAAGCCCTTACTGTGTTCAGAACGACGCTCGATCTCTTCCCAAGACATCCCCGTAACCACCATGATTAATAAACAGCACGTTTGTGAGGACCCGGGACCCACAGAATGGTAGCGTCAAAGCCGACAGATTTCTCGATGGTTTGCATGGAAAACCATGCGAGTTCTTGGTTCCTTCCAAACCGAAACCCAATCTATGTTTTTATGATTTCTTTTCCATTTGGGAGATCTTTTTTGTGAACTTTCACAGCACTGAAAAATGACATGTAAGAGAATTGTAGACACATTGAACGGAGCAAATATTTCAAACATCATGCTCGAAGGAGGCTCAGAAAAGATGTTCTTTCCTGTAACCTTTAGAACCCAGCCAGCCACCCTCCCCTGCCTTCTGGGCTCAGAGTAAACACCGGGTTTTACAAGTCCTCGGTGGGCCGTCAGGCCGGATGTCTTGCAGTTAAACAGAATGATACTCTCATTTTCCTGAGAGTCAAGTTATTACAAAATGAAAAAAAAAAAAAAAACAGTAATAAAAAAGTATCCCTCTTGTGGCTTCAAAGTAACAAAGTTGTGATGTCCAATGTACGGTCTGGGCCTCCTCAGGCCGGCGGCCCTGATTTGTTGCCGTTCTTTGAGGACCTGCCGATCTCAAGACATCGCCGGGTGACCTGCAGACATTATAGATAATCCTGTAATCCAGCAAAGTAGGTTTTACCATTTTTATATTTTAGATGAAAACAGCAGAAATTCAAAAAAATTAATGTGCCCAAGGACACACAGATATACAGGGCAGGTATTTGAGGTCATGTTTCTCTTGTTTCAACATTCTTCTTTCTCATGAAAAAAAAAATCACATTATTACATTTACCAATGTTCTCCTTTTTTTTGCAATTAAATCTTTTTCTGATTTTTTTCTGTCATTCTACCTGTAATTTATTTTTACTTCATTCGGTAAGTAATTACCAGCAGCAAAGACTCCTAAGGGAAAGAATATGCTATATTATTGTTAATCCATCTCACGGATTTCCTACACAAAACATGTCCTCAGGAGGTATTTAGAATATGAAGTTGGAACCTGGGAGCTCCATAATCGTGCTGTGGGTCTTTGTCTACACACACCAAAATCACAGGAGAGCTCTGCTGTTAACCTACCTTTCTACCGACGCCTCTTGAAACTCGATTGGGGATTAAACTTTCATCCCCCAAACCTGCCTCCTACGTCTGGGACGCTTAGCCCATGGCAGAACGTGCCCAAGCTTGAACAGTATATATTTGGATCAACTACTAGGTGAGATTATTTATTCAGTGCTTCTAAAATCTTTGTGATGTTAATGTACAGTTACGTGGTAGGGTATATTTTAAGATATTAGAAAAATATGTGACAACCAAAAGATTTCTGCCATAGTTAACGATTTCATTAATATACGGAACATTATTAGGCAATCTTGTGTGGTGATAGTTTCCATTCTCCTCTCGTATCCATTCTTTCCTTGTTTGTTTGTTAGCTACCTAGAATAAATATCACACTAGAGCTGAGTTTGGCTGTCAGACTAAGCTGTGAACAGTACACCGTAAGCAGTTTTCTTAAACAGTGGAAAATTACCCTTCGGCTCTTCATTTTTCCTCCGGGCTAGAATATGGATGTGAATGTGAACGCTGGAGCATGAGCCGCCATAATGGGCTGTGAGGTGGATGGTAGAACAACAAGCTGGAAGCAGTCTGGCTC